CATAACTACAGAGCTGGAAATGGCGCACCCTGGTTAACCCAGCTCAAACCCAGAAAGACAAACGCGCATGTTCTTTTTCGTATGTGGGTGGCAGCTTCGAGTCTTTGGGTAAGTGTTTTTAAATGAGAGCACTCATTGAAACCACGCAGCTGTAGGAAACCATAGGGGTGGAGGTGCTGTCAGGGAACCAAGAGAGCAAGCAGGTAAGGTGGGGGCATGGGAAACCACGCTGCTGCATTGAAGAGTTCAAGCAAGATGGGGATGGGTAGACGGGGAAGGGGAGGGAGTGCGGGAAGAAACAGCTAACGCTAAATACCTCCGGAAAAGCCACATTAAAAATTCTACTACTGTAGGCACTTCTTAAAATACACGCGCGCACACACACAAACTGAGTTTAAATGGTCTAACCCTATCATCGGAGGACGATGCCTCTCATAGGCACCATGCGCTAATCAAATTAAAAAGCAAATGCCACGTATAGGTTGCCTCTTTTTTATACTTATTTTTATTATCTTTAAAACAATTTGGAGCTCATTCCCAATGGAGCTGGATGCAGGCAGAAGGACCTTGGTCCTGCCCAAAATGATGTAACAGACTCCCATGATTTCCCATGAGAGGCCTTGCCGAGGAATGAATGGTGCACGGAGTGTGGAGATAGTAGGGGAGTGGGATTGGGTTACCATTTTTGTGTCATTGGCCTCTCATAAGATGCAAGGGGAGAAAGTCATCAACAGTCTTATCCAGTTAAGAATCCTGCCAGAATAAAAAGAAAAAAGAAAAAGATTGTTGGCCTACTAGGATATACCACTGCTATAATAGTAACATGACTGCTATTGCAGTAACCAATCACTTTCTCATTATATAAATCATGATCTACAAGACAGAACTGTGGTATGCTATTTATGATTTATTAAAGCTTGCCTGAGGATTCAGAGTAGTTCAAAGCCGCACTGACTACATGAAACTGATCCAGTCCTAACAGAAACAGCTCACACAAAGATGATCTCAGCCCTTGGGATCACAAGCCTTTAATCCCAGCACTAGGGAGTTGGAGACAGGAGTGATATGGCTGGGCAGAGAAAGGAATAGAAGGAGGAGACAGGAATTCCGAGCCTTTTCCCTCTGAGGATTTGTGAAGACTGGATTGCCATTTCATCTGGGTAGAAGTAAGGTCTACTGGCTTGGCTGCTTTGCTTCTGTGATCTTCAGCTTGAAGTTTGAACCCCAGTGTCAGCCTCTGGATCTTTTATTTATTGCATTACATAGAACTCATGCTTGGTGTCATTATCTGCGCCAAAATGCCACGTCTGCCTAGGTCAGATTCCCTAGGGGAGAGCTTAATGCTATTATTCTTCTAATTGGGCATAGTAATAGTCTGTCCATATGATGGGGGATGTCCTTCTAAATATGTTTCTCTTATTGGTTGATGAGCAAAACATTGATTGGCCAGTAGCCAGACAGGAAGTATAGGCAGGCTACCAGAGGAGGAAAATTCAGAGAAGACAGAGAGAGTGAGCTGCCAGAGAGATGCCATGTAGCCACCATAGGAATAACAGGTCTGGGCATTCTCCAGGAGGCTAAGCCATTTCCCAAACCATTTATGATTGATATAAGCTTCTGTGTGTTTATTTGGGCCTGAAGGGTGGCCAGACTAGGCAGAACAGAAACTCTGTCTAAACCTGTAAGTTACTATCTTTATACCACAGATTAGTGAATCTTTCGCTCCTCATCAGCTGGTTTTTGTTTGTTTGTTTTTTGCAGTAGGTGACAATTAGTATAGAGGTCCACAACTATTCCACACGCAATGAATAAAGGACTATAGAGAGCTGGACTCTAAACAAGATGATGTCACAGCCTGTCCTCCAAGCCACAGGGAATTCTGAGGAAGATAAAGCTGAAAGATTCTGAGAGCTGGGGTAGTTGATGTCTTGAGTCAAACAGTGTTTGCCTGATGTGCTGTACATGTAAGCTCACAGTGGCTGTAACTGAATGCCCGCAGTACTTGACTTTAATCAAGGAAGCCTGATTTCATTCAGTCTCCTACTCAATTTCATCCTTGTCCTTCACTTTTACTGACATTGAGAGCTGAGACAAGATGAGCAAGAATGTTTGAAACTGAGCATAAATGGGTGCTTCAGTGAAGTTATTTGAGGCACAGTTTCATTTTGTTACCCTGTCTGGCTTTAGGACTCACTTTTTTTTTCTCAAAATTATGGCAATCCTCATGCTCCAGTTTTCCAAATGCTGAATTTACAGGCATGAGCCACTGCACCCTGGCTGGTATTTCTTATTCTCCTTTCTTTCTTTCTTTCTTTCTTTCTTTCTTTCTTTCTTTCTTTCTTTCTTTCTTTCTTTCTTTCTTTCTTTCTCTCTCTCTCTCTCTCTCTTTCTCTTTCTCTCTGTCTCTCTGTCTCTGTCTTTGTCTCTGTCTCTCTCTCTCCCTCTCTTTCTCTTTCTCTGTCTCTCTGTCTCTGTCTCTGTCTCTGTCTCTGTCTCTGTCTCTGTCTCTCTCTCTCTGTGTGTGTGTGTGTGTGTGTGTGTGTGTGTGTCTGTGTGTGCAGCCCTAGATGTAGGCCAAGCTAGCCTAGAATTCAGACTTCCTCTGCCTCCCACATTTCAGTTTAAAAGGTGACATTCTCTTTCTCTTTGCTAATGAAAATGCTGTTGCTACTATACATGATAGAACTTAGAAATTTTAGCCTAAGAGCAAGCTAATGCATTAAGCCCTACAGGAGCAAAACAAAAACAAGAACAAATAAAACAAGGTTCCACTCATGAACTGAACAAGGACACCAAAGAGACTATCAGACTGGATGGGGAAAGCCCAGGAGGCATCAACCCTACAGAAAGAACTAAGGGCCGGAAGCTGAGTAAATCAGGGAGAAAGAGGGTGGCAGTCACCATTAAAGAGCACTCCGATTGGTTGGTTGGTACCTTACAGCCCTGAAAACATACATACGTGTTACATTGACATGGACTCAACAGATCACATTTAGGAACACACATGTATATGCAAACATGTGCAATGACAATTGACGAGAAACACAGGTCATGGATGTGAAGCAGAGTGCGTAGGTGTGTACAGAAGGGTGTGGAGGGAGAAACGAGAAAGGAGAAACTTTGTGATTAAAATACAATCCCCAAGGTAGACAACAAAAGAGTTTAGAGTTCTGCAAAACAAAATTCAATGATAGCTAAAAGTTTGGAAAAAAATCTCTAGAAAAATAAGGCAAGTAATAGTTTTAGAATTGAGCAGGAAATATTGATTCTGGCCAGATTCCCAGCTCTTCATTAGTTTAACTCTCAAGAGAGCAAAGAAACTTAGGAAGACCGTAACTGATCCAATGGAAAATGAGCAGAGGAAAAAAGATATGTTACACACAACCTATTATTCTTTGCAGACAGATAAAAGAGTTTTTTCTTCTCAAAGACATTAACTAGGGTAACTTTAAATGGCTCTTTCTATAAATGCGACTGGCAGAGTGACAGGGTTAAATATGCACTGTAGGGAATTTTACCGGCCTAAGGAAGTCAGAAAATATGTTGAACAACATGAGGCAAACATCTTACCTACAGTTCTTCACCTTAAGGGCTTGCCAAGGAAGAAAGACATGCTCTTTTGTGAGAATGGAAACTTGCTTGAGAAACTATTTGAAGTATTGGAAGTAAACTACACTTGCAATTCATAAGCTTATAGACTTGAACTCTACCCATTCAGCGGTCTTACGTAACTGTGGTCTCTGCTCACTACCATACTGTCTGCTAGACAAGATGTTTCCAAAGGTATAATAGTGGAATGGTTGATCTGAACTAACCAACCACTTTGTGGCTGGACTTGAAGGACGTTGCGTGTGAATATGGACATACATACTATAAGCCTGAGCAAAAACCTATGGCTAGTGATGTCCCAGGCAAAAATCTGAGAAGAAATACTTGCTTAGCATTTGACTCTATTTGTATCACCCTCCACCTAGGGAACAACACAGAAAACAGGCAGAAACGCTGTCAGAACTGGAGGATGACGAGAAATCCTGTCAAACTTTCTGCTGAACAAGACGTGTGGCTGTGGCTACCTGCACAAGACCTGTCCCTGCTTCTCCCACAAGACAGGAAAGTATGAGAACAACTGGGAACTCCCAGCCTGGGCTCTTGAAGGAAGGCCTAGGCCGTGCCCTGAATGACATGACAGACTCTGGAGATCCACCATGGAGGGCCTCACCCTCCCTGGGAATCAGAGTGGAGATTGGGTGAGGGACTGAAGGGCCTAGTGGGGAGGGATGGTGAGGAGGGGAGGGAGAGGGAGCTGGGATTGACTTGTGAAACAAGCTTGTTTCTAACTTAAAGAAAAAAAGAACTAAAAAAAATAAAGGAGTCAATAGGAGTGGGTGAGATAAGAGAAGGTAACAAGTAGTGAATGAGTTCACAATTCATGGGATACATATAAGAAATTGTCAGAGATAAAAGGATAATGTTAAAATTAAAACTATATGTATATATATACATTATATATGTATATAATATCTATGTTCCAGCTAGAGTAATACTAAGACAAAGTGATTCTAGGCTTTTTTATTATTCAAATTATTTATAATTAAACTACGAAAAGAAAATGATCATTTTGGGTAAAGTCACTGTTTCATATTTTCAGTGAAATAAAAATTCGGTAAAGCAAAAGATAGGAAAAGCATTATTTTCTAAATATTAATATGAATGTGAACCGAGCATTCATGCCTTCCATTAGTTAGTACACTTGGCCCCGTCTGTTCTCAGCTTTGTGCCCTGGCTTGTCTGTCTTCAGCTTCTGTACTGTCACTCACACAGTATCAAAGGACAACAGAAACAAGGCATCAAGACAGATAGAATAACCCACAGATGAGGGTGAGATGAGCAGGCACTTAGCAAACTAAACTCCGTAGCCTCTGGGGGAAAGTATTTTATCCCCTTGTATGTGTTAAAATAAGTACGGCCCTCCTGGTATAGAACACACTTTATTGAGCATATATTTTGTATCTCTTTATTAGTCTAATTCTTTCAGTGCTGGAGCACAACACACCATTATTTCTCCATAGACCAGTTCAGTGCCACTGTAGTATGAAGCATCTATAGAAACACATAAAGAAGAGGGGTTGGTTGGCTCTATTTCAATAAAACATCAGCTACTAAAAGGCAGCCCACTCTCAGTGACACAGAATTTACAATTGTTAATATGATTTTAATCTCAAACTATTACATTTTCTTGATTGAACTATATCATGAACTCAGTGACTTTACTTGAAGTATCATCGATATTTTGTCTATAGACACTTGGTACTAGAAGGGCTTATTTGTGGATTAGTGAGTACTTCTTTTTGGGGGGTCTTCTATTCCTCTGACCCAGTGGTTCTCCATCTTCCTAATGCTATGACCCTTTAATACATACAGTTCCTCATACTGTGGCGACCCCCACCCATACAATTATTTTTTATTGTTACTTAACAACTGTAATTTTGTTGTTGCTATGAACCATAATGTCAATATTTGACATGCTGAGTATCTAATATGCAACTTATGTGAAAGGGTCATTTGACACAGAGGTTGAGAACCACTGTTCTGACCTGTTCCAAAGGAAAGCATCAAGTGTGTCATTATGGATGTTTGTTAAAGAGAAAAACTTGGGGGTTGATCTCCAATCTAGTGTATGCCTGTGTCACACAAACAGACATCCTTTATGGTTATAATAGTCTGAGAGGGACTGCGAAGTCATGGCATTCACTGTGTGGGGGCCACACCCAAAGGACTGGGATGAAAAAGGAAATAACGGAAATGATGGAAACTTTCACGATACCAAGAACATCAGAAGCATGTGGAGGTTGGGAAAGCGTGCTGCAGGTGCCCAAAGGTTGATTTAAAAAGCCATGTAACAGCTGAACAAAGCTGAAAGGAGGAGCCAGCAGCCAAAGGAACTACAAACAGTCTTTTGTAGACAACAAAGCACTGAGAGGTAGGGACCAAGAAAGAAATGATGCTGTGGTCCATTCTCTTTTCAGGTCACCAGAGTTTCTAAGACTTTCTACAAGTGGTCGGTTCTGCTCCTTTGTAGCTCAATGTCTTATAATTGAGACTGAGTCAGCAGCTCAACCTACAGGAAAATTCCATAGTTCCTGGTCAAAACTTAATACTTCTTCTCATGCCTATACTAACTCCAAGTAGTAAATCTTAATAATTCTTTTAAAGAGGAAGAAATACAGAATTTAGGTGAAAATACAAGCGCAAAATAAATATATGCATATATGCATGCAGCTAAAACTATGCAGGAGACTGTTATTACTGGGCCAGCATATATCCAAACAGGAGGTCTTTATTTTGGTAAAGAAGCTAATGGAATGTTTCTCTAGTTCATAAAACCCCCTTTTAAAGCATTTGTGAAAGGTAACCATTAGAGAGACTACAGGAATCTACTCTACGATGGAAAAAGTAACATCTTGAGATTCTTTATTTGCTTAGCTCGTTCTTTTTCTTTCTCCTGTACTTACAGAAAGAAAATCAGGATTTTCTCATTTAATAGGTTAATAAATCAAGGTTGGCTGTCTCTCCACAGTCTCCTAAGTGTACACACTACCTGGGTGGCCTCAAACAGAAGTAAATGGCACATTCAGATGGGATGAGTGACTGACTACATGCTTCGCACTTTAAACTGGGAAACTGAAAGTAAATACTTGTGGGTTTTTATTAAAAACCAGGATATTTTCTCAAGTACTATGTTTACCAGGAACTTTGTAGAGTGTTTATAGCAAATATTTATAGTACTTTCCTTATTTCCAGCGTTTCTTTGAACATAAGTGAATTTTGGCATATACCAATATAGCTTGCTACCTTAGCTTAGATAAAGCATACATTTTCAGTTGCACCACTTGATTTATAATATTATAATAGTAATCAAGCAATATTTTCTTCTTCTTTTTTAATCAGCCAAAAAAACTGGAAAATACATGTCCATTCAAGAAAAACCTTAATATCCTCATAAAGTACATCTTACATGATTTCAACTAACACATACTTACATATACCTTAGTGTGAGCTCAGCTTCTTTATATATTTTTACATCTAACAAGCCTGTCATTCATGAACAATGATTCCTATTATAAAAACAGTAATTTCATGGGAGTCTAAGATGTCTGAATGGCTGTCATAACCTATAACCCCTCTCCCAAAGCACCCTCCATTCTGTATCAAGTGGTTTGCCTTTTCTATCTCAAGCAAATCTTGGGCCATGATATAGGTACTCTCCAGAGCCCAAGGTACCTCTTTGTGACCTGATACTTAGAAAACCATGGTTCCATAAGATGCGTGGAGCCCCATATGGGGAGTTTGGGAAATTCTTTCTATCAGGGTTTAAGCAATTCATTTATTTCCCTGATTAGTTTCTTCAAAGAACATAGCAAGTCTGGATAGACATCGTCTAAAGTACGTCCGTTGCCCATACACTTCCTCATTGGTTGCATGCTACATAAACCATCATGTCCAAGCCATCATCATTTTTCTGTTGGGCTAAGGTCACAATCTCCTTACCCAGTTCCTCTCTGGGTCTCTCCAAATCCATTTTCAAACAGCCATCAGGATGTCCATTTTTTTTTATCGCGTGCAAGATTGCGTGTTTCGTCTGATTAAAATTCTTCTGAAATTTTTAGTACTAAATAAATTAAAAACAAAACCTTGTGATGAGATACACTTTGCCTGAATCTTTGTACCCCCCCCCACACACACTGTATTTCATCTACGCTGATCTCTGTGCCGTTTGGCATGCAAGCTGGAATCCCTCCTGCACCTAGACCTTTGTACACTCTGCTCCATCTCTCAAGGCCAATCCTCTTCCCCTGCTTCCTGTGTCGTCCCAATAGTGCCTTCACCTTTGTCTCCCTTCCGGATTCAGCTCATGTTTGTTTCGTCTTCAAAGTGTTTTCCCTATGCAGCAGTATTTCTCAGTCACCGTGTTGCCTGTACCAAAAGTCACTAAGACTCCTCCAAGGACGTTTCAACCCTGAGAAGCGTGACCTTTGCGTGAGAACCGAGCAGGCAAAACAGAAACTCTCTGAAAGCAATTCCAGTTGCAACCGCATTGCCGAGTCAAGGGTCTGATGAATCCCACCACGGTCTCTCTTCGTTCATGTCCCTTTCCCCATGCGTCATTTCCATCATCCACCTGTCACAGTCACGGTGCATGCTTCTTCGATTTGAGCGATAATTCTACGAAAGAGGTGGGATTTCATACCATTCGCTGTGGTGACCCCCAACTCCTAACTACTAGTGGGCCTGTAAACGGAGTGAAGGTTTCCAAATCAAGAGACTGGCAGGCAGAGCGACGGATCTGAAAAACAGCACAGAGATGCCGTCACGTGGAGGATACACGGGTAGGGAGTGAACGTGAGTGTGATAATTTTTTTTATAAGACAGAGAAGACGAATCTTAAGGATAGAAGAGACATGAGCATAAATCGCGGATCACAAAATTTCCTTTTAGGCCATTAATGTCTATGAGTGGATCTGAAAGCTCCTATGTGACCCCTAAGATGCGTCAGTCATCTCGGTCTCGGGAAACATCCTGCCTGCTTTGCTGACATACTGAAACTGGCTATTTCCCCCTTGTGTGTTAGCACAGTGAAGCCTTACCTCGGACCGGATGCTCCCTCTTTTCTTTGTTTTTGTTTTTTATTAGCTCTCTGAGCATTTTATACAACTTGTTTTAGCTGTGTCTACTCTTCCCTCAACACTTTTTGGATTCCCTTTTGGACACAGCCACCTTCATAGCTTTGCGGTTTTTGTCTTTCTAGACAAATTAGTGCCTGAACATTCTTAGATGTGTGTTCTTCCACGGGGGAGTGCTTTATGCGCCAAGTTTTCTTAGCGAAAACTGTCTCTTCCTCTCCCAGAAGCTAACAATTGCTAAGAGCTCCACGTGAGGGATCGAGTCTTGTGCCCAACTCTGCTCTCCATGTTGGAATTTGGCAGAGGGTTTATTCATATTATCCCAAGCACTATGTACAGGGGTCCCTACTGTGTCAGGAAGAAACTCTTTCTTTGTGTGGTGACTCAACCATTAAAGCTAGGCTTTATAGATATAGTTATAGAGATATAAAATTTATTATTTTATATTGAATTATCTTCATTAAATAATATTCTGATGGACCAGCAAGATGCCAGTGGGTAAGGGTGCTTTCTGTAAAAGCAGACAACTGAGTTCCTTCCTGAAGCTCACAGAATAGAAGGGCAGAACCAAGTGCCAAGAGTTACCCTTTGACTTTTACATGCGTGTGGCACACACACACACACACACACACACACACACACACAGAGGGAAGGGAGGAAGGGAGGGAGGTAGGGAGGGAGAAAGAGAAAGGATGGATTAATGAATAACTTTAAAATTTGTGAAGAATATTATAGAGTTTAGCATTATCTTGACAATCCTAGAGTTGTATACATAAAGTGTTTTAGTCTCTTTTTATCTTTTTTATTTAAATTAGAAACAAGCTTGCTTCACATGTCAATCCCAGTTTCCTCTCCTTCCCCTCCTCCCCCACCCACCCACCAACCCCCAAGCCCTCCACCCAATCCCCTCTCCACTCCCCAGGGAGAGTGAGGCCCTTCATGGGAGATATCCAGAGTCTGTCATTTCATCCAGGGCAGGGCCTGGGCCCTCCCCCATGTGTCCAGGCTGAGAGAGCAACCCTCATTGTGGGATGGGCACCCAAAGTCCATTTGTATGCCAGGGATAAATACTGATCTACTACCCAAGGCCCCGAAGATTGCCTAGGCCTCCTCACTGATACCCACATTCAGGGGGTCTGGATCAGTCCCATGCTGGCCTCTCAACCATCAGTCTGGGGTCCATGAGCTCCCCCTTGTTCAGGTCAGCTGTTTCTGTAGGTTTCACCAGCCCAATCTTGACCCCTCTGCTCATGACTCCTCCCTCTCTGTCACTGGGTACCAGGAGTTCAGTTCAGTGTTTAGCAGTGGGTGCCTGCCTCTGCTTCCATCAACCACTGGATGAAGGTTCTAGAATGGCATATATGGTAGTTGTCAAACTTATCATCAGGGAGGGGCATTTAAGGTAGCCTTTCCACTATTGCTTAGATTGCCACTTGGAGTTATCCTTGTAGATCTCTGGAAATCTCACTAGTGCCAGATCTCTCCTCAAACCTATAATGGCTCCCTCTATTATGGTATCTCTTATCCTTCTCTCCTCTATTCTTTCCCTGATTTAACCTCCTTGCTCCCCCATGTCCCCCTCTCCTCTCGTCTTCTCCCCCTCTCTTTCTCCCATCTCCCTCTCTCCTCTCCCCCTGCTTCCAATCCACTCAGGAGATCCTGTCCCATTCCCCTTCTCTGGGCTACCATGCATATCTCTCTTAGAGTCCTGTTTCCCAGACTCTCTGGCAATGGGCTTGTAGGCTGGCACACCCCGATCCATGTGTTTTAGTCTCTTTTATCACCTTGATATGCTTAAGAAATCTTGAAACACAGGAAACAGGATTTTCAAGGTTCTTGTAGCCACTTCTCTTTAATCTGTAGGAGTTATGATTTAATTGGCCAGAGATGTTGCTAGGATATTAGATCAGTTTGTTTCTTTCATTTGTCTCTTTTTGGTTCCTGACTGGTTCTAATATATGCCTCATGTTAAAATACATAAAAGTTTAGCAGGAGAAATTTTAAATGACTCAAAATATCTACCTATTTTTAGGAATGATCTTTCAGTCAGCCTTGGCTTTTCTACTTGATCTGTCTCCAGTTAATTTCCCTTGCTTCATTCCAACTGTATTTGCCAATACTCGGCAAATTCAAAATTATAAGTTTCCGTTTAATGGGCCCTCCATTTTTCTAATCGTTCTGTAGTACTCCTGTGTGAATACTAGAGTCGGAAGGGCTCCTTAAAAATAGTCTTATCAAGTCCTCCTTCATTTGCTAGCAAAAGATTTGAGACAGGGAAGTGTCTGGAGTTAAAAAGAAACAAATGGCACCACAAAGCAAGACATCTTGGCATTCTGAGCTCACTGAAGGAGACAGGGAAGGCCTCGGGAAGACATTCTGTCTCATCTTCTCTCTTTCCATGTTTCTCCACAAAAGGCATCAAAGAAATCAGAACTTCTCATTCTCAAAGTTGTTCATAGATATTACAACCCTTGTCCCCCAAAGCATGGCAAAACCTAAAACAGTCCAGAGCTCTCCTATCCCATGATCCGGGAAAAGGCCTGCCACACAGAAAAATGAAAATGAATCTGAGAAGAAGCCTCGGTGCATTTCTCTCCTCACAATTTGGCTCTGCCTTCTACATTACTGCCAATTCCTCATTAAACCTAAAGACCAAAATTAGTTTTCCCTGAAATGTAGTGTCTCCATTTCTGAAAGTTTTCATGATGTAAATTGTCATAGAATACGTAAATATGCATATATATGTGTGTGTATGTATGTGTAACTAACATGTACATAGTAAGACACCATCTGGCTAACATCATATACTGTGGCTCATTAATACTGGCCAAGAGCGCTGCTCCTCACAAATATCCTCACTGCACTTGAGTTTTCCCCTTAGGACACATCATAACTCTTTGTACTCAGGAATATTAGTAGGCAATTGAGCTCTATGCTTGCATTCAGGATAGGAAAGTCAGGGGCACATCTGCATAACCCTTGCACTCAGAATATGCTTACTAAAGATGTCTATAAAAAGAAACACACATTAAACAAAGTCATGTCCTAATTAGATGACAAAAATATAAATGAAGCCTTTGCAGAAACAGAGCCCATCCTTAGGAAGCAGAAATAGTTCAGTGCTGGGTAATTCTGAGCTAAAAGCAACACAGTGACATATAAATAACAAAAATTGACCGTATTGGAGAGTCAATCCAAAGCTTAAGTCAAGCTCAAACAATGAGGACTTGGAAGCAAAGTAAGATTGAAGGAGCCATATGTTGCTAAAGACAAGAGTCTTGGTGAACACTGGGGGACTTTTCATGCTCAAGATTATGATATTTACTTTTATACCTGTAATGTACTTCCTAATATACATATATGTGTGCATATACATATATATATATGATAGATGATAGGTAGAGATTATATAGAACATATATATTTATTTATATATATGTACACTCATACATGCATACACAGGGGGATTAAACTACATATCTACCTAAACAAAACCCAGCTAGTTTACTTTCATTTTACAAAGGATATGAGTAAGAAATCTAAAAGTGCATAATGTTTTCTACCAGTAGATATCTAGACATTCTGCCAGATAGTTATCACCAAGGCAGCATGAGTGTCAAAGTCAGTATCCATGTCTGTGACTGAACAGGTTCTGCATGCAAGCTTGTGACATTTTGCTTTCTGATATTTTGCCAGACATCCATGTACTTTGTCTACATTAGATAGTTTTGAATATTCATTTTATCCTAAACACAAATTGTTTATAATTTTCAGTCTGATGACTAATCATGTTAGATGCGGTCACTAAAAGTCTGCTCTACCAGGTTCTTAGAGAAGTCCTAGAGATACACAGGGAAAGAGCACATCCACACCTAAGCCCAGAGCCACCACAGGTCAAGGAAGACAGTGTCAGTCAGAGCCACCACAGGTCAAGGAAGACAGTGTCAGTCAGAGCCACCACAGGTCAAGGGAGGCAGTGTCAGTCAGAGCCACCACAGGTCAAGGGAGACAGTGTCAGTCAGAGCCACCACAGGTCAAGGGAGACAGTGTCAGAGCCATCACAGGACAAGGGAGACAGTGTCAGTCAGAGCCACCACAGGTCAAGGGAGACAGTGTCAGTCAGAGCCACCACAGGTCAAGGGAGACAGTGTCAGAGCCATCACAGGACAAGGGAGACAGTGTCATTCAGAGCCATCACAGGACAAGGGAGACAGTGTCAGTCAGAGCCACCACAGGTCAAGGAAGACAGTGTCAGTCAGAGCCACCACAGGTCAAGGGAGACAGTGTCAGTCAGAGCCACCACAGGTCAAGGGAGACAGTGTCAGAGCCATCACAGGACAAGGGAGACAGTGTCAGTCAGAGCCACCATAGGTCAAGGAAGACAGTGTCAGTCAGAGCCACCACAGGTCAAAGGAGACAGTGTCAGTCAGAGCCATCACAGGTCAAGGGAGACAGTGTCAGTCAGAGCCACCATAGGTCAAGGGAGGCAGTGTCAGTCAGAGCCACCACAGGTCAAGGGAGACAGTGTCAGTCAGAGCCACCATAGGTCAAGGGAGACAGTGTCAGTCAGAGCCACCACAGGTCAAGGGAGACATGTCAGTCAGAGGGAAGCTGAGCCTCCCCCGAGTTATGCGAATTTTCTACTCTGCTTTCTTTTGAACTAGTATGTAAGGTGTTACTGATGTGCAAGGATTCTCCAAAACCTCCATCTCATAGATTCATTCAGAATCTTCTGGAACTTCCCATCATCAGAATCATCTGAACCCATAATGATCATATTTCCCTTCATCCATACATGAATACCGAAGATGTGTTTCTCTTGTGAACTCTCATAATACCAAATGGGGATAAAAATTATGTAGATAATTTAGAGACTGAAAGAGATAGCATTCTTGGAAGAAAAAAAAACAGGTTCAAAGACCTAGAAGCACGAACACAGTGTTTTAGAAGAATTGAAACAAGCTAACAGCAGTAAACATACCTACTGCTCCGTGCAGCAGACTCTGTTCTAAGTTCCCTTCCTGTTATCACATGTAACCTGCACACCAAGAATGGTCCCAGATTTTTCCTCAAAGAGCAAATGAAGAGCACTGAGTCATGGAAAGTCTAAGTCATGCAAGAGGAATGGAAAGAAAACCCACAATCCACAGCTGAGCTGTCCGTCTCCCCATCATGGACTCTGACCATGCCCCTGACCAGGACTCCTTCATCTCCTGACATGGATCTTAGAAGGGAGTAGGGTTAGGGGTGCCAGATCCTGTAATGGCTCTGCATGTAACCTCAAGCTTCTTTCCTATTGTAAGAACAAGAACCAAAGAAAGACTTAAACTCTACAAGTGACAAGAGTACATTATTACTTTAAAAAGAGCTAATTCCTGAGAAGGAAATAGGATGGGGGAAAGTTAAAGATGGGTTGCGGGGGTGGGGGTGGGGGGAGGGCTTGGATGAAATATTTCTCTCTTAGTCATTTTGCCTAGACATCTAAGAGAAATTCAAATTGCTCCATGAAATGTTAAAAATAGAATCTTCAAACCACATGAGCTTTAAGCAAATCCGTTACAGAACGACCATGTTGCCACTCCTTGAACATGGTCACTTAGGAGAGCAAAGATAAGGAACTGTCATGTGGGAGTCTAAGGGAAGATTAGAGATGTTTGGGGGGGAAGCTTTTGGGTCACAGGAACCTCCAGGCCAAGAAGCACATCAGTGATCCATAGAGGACAATGTCAGCCATGACAGAGGGAAAAGATAAAGGGACATCACACGGTGAAGCTGCTGTAGTGTTAAGTTACCCTTACGACTGGACAGCCCACATGACTCAGTCTGTGTGGGGGAGAACTGAAAACTGTGATTACATTATTGTCTAAGCTGGTCCAGAATGTGTTCTGAAGGCCACACACACACACACACACACACAGCAAGAGGTCACGTGGATTAAGACTCAGTCAAGGAAATGTTTAGTTTCTGGGACTCGGTATACAACCGTTGAGCACAGAGCCCAAGTTTAGCAAAAGCATGAAATTGTAATTTATTGAAATTGTTTCAAAAGATGTATTTTTTTATTTCGAATCCACAAAGAATTATCCACAAGTTCTCCAAACGTTGTTAGTGATGCCAAGGGTTTAGAACCCACAGTGAAGCCTTTTATTTGCGGGGGGGAGGGGGATGTTGGATACCATAAGCATGCTTGTAAGCCATCAGTTGCCTCTAGTCCATTTTCCTGCTAAAGGCTGCAAGCCGGATATTGTTACTGAGCCTTCAGCCTGGTGGCTAGAATTTGTACTACTGAAGTGAGGACATGTTTGTCTGTGGCATCCAAGAAAACACAGAAGGATACTGGTTAACTTTTGAAGACTGTCATTCCTGTGACATGAGGACATGCTCAGGATCTAGGACGGAGCTCTCTTTAAGGGCCTTGCTGAGATAAGAAGACTTTCAGCTCCTCCTTAGTCCAGAGCCGTCATGTTCCTAGAGCTCCGTTGCCAGTTCTGTCTGGTAGGATTCTTGTATGTATATTCCTCAAAGGATTCTTGTATATTCCTCAATAGCTTCTTAACCAAAAGTCCCCCACCCCCAAAAATGTCTGAACTCAGGGTCACACCTCAGAAGTGCATTACTTTGGCTTTTAGCCTGTTTTATATCTCATGGAATTTCCCACACAGAGAATACAGTGTCCAGGACAAAGAGACCTAGAGCATCGTCTCACTTAAAACACAGTGTTTGGACAAAAGCAACATCTACCCACTTAGCAAATATGTCTTTCCAGGGCAACATATGAGAAATGACTCTAAACAATGTAAAAGTGTACATTTCTTTATATGTTATACATGTGCACATTTTTATTTTAAAGTTCATTTTAAGTATATTTCTACATGGCTTTTCAGCTATTCTGCACAAATTAAACCCAGCTAGTTTTAAATCTATTTTTAATCACTATTCTAGCCCTCTTAGGAATTTGCTGTCGCATAAAATAGATTTTTGTTGACTTTTCCTTCTTCCCTGGACCTAAACCTATAAAGGATTTTTCAAGGTTTATTCTGTTTAAAAATGATGTGTCTGTGTGTGGTTACGTACAGGTACCTACAGAAACCAAAGGGATGGGCCCTGGAATTATCAGCAGTTGTGAGTCACCCAACATAGGTGGTCACTGAAACCCAGGCCTTTGAAAGAGTCATGTCTCGTGCCCCAACCTATGAAGCTTTTGGCTTTTAATTTATATTTTATGCCACTAGTTAGCTATTCAGTAGAGGAACATGCAACGCACACACACACACACACACACACACACACACACACACACACACACATGCACGCAAAATAGTTACAAGGCACATAGACCTGTGTGCTTTCTCACAGAATGGAGTATAAGAAGATCAAGAAGGTAAAACTGCTATTTTCTGGAAAACTCATTAAAAACTTTGAACAGTGCAAGTGCTTTTTTTTTCAGCTACTAAATGGAATTTATTTCTTTTTGAGAATTGTTTTTGCTGTGAAAGCAGAAAATAAACCCAGTGGAAAAAGGAACCAGGAATGTGAGTAGACAATTCACAGTGGAAAAAAAAATGCCTTTAAAGGTGGAAATATGTTCAGTTTTTGTGACAATAAAATAGACTAAAAGTAAGGCCTTGTTTTCAGAAGTTAATCTTGCAAGGTTTAAACTGGCTTTTACAGTAATTTCTGAAGAAATAAGAAAATAAAACACATATATGTTAGCTGTGCTATAAATTAGTTTAAATTTGAAGCAAGTAGGTCATTTTCTAACAGTCACAGGGCTCCTTATCTTCTTTATCACCCTCTTGTCAAGGGCAAAGTTTAAAAAGTGTTCCCTCACCATCTGTAGCTGCATTTTCAATTTATCTGTTGTTTCCTCTACCGTGGTAAATTGTTTTTGCTTATTTTTAATTAAGCTGTGTTTACACGTTCAAGTCTCTATTTTGGTCATTGCCATAGTTTCCGACTGTGAATGAAAACTATAAAGCAGTGATTCTCAATCTGTGGGTCTTGACTCCTTGGGGGAGGGTGGGGGTCAAATGATTCTAGGGGTTGCCTAGAATCATTGGAAAACACGTATTTACATTACCATTCTTAGCAGCAGCAAAATGACAGTTATGGAGTAGTAATGAAAATAATTTACAGCTGGGGGGGTCACCGCAACGTGAGGAACTGCACTAAAGGGGTCTCAAGCTAACGCTGAAGGTTGAGAACCCACTCATCTAAAGGGCTTCCTTTTTTTATTCCGTTACATAAAGCAGCAGCAGAAACGCAACTCACTACTCTCTTAGAAAAAAACAGTCTCTACTCACACTGGCTTTAGGAGCAGCATGCTCAGTAGCTCAGCCAGTTCCTCCGGTAGACTCCGAGTCTCGTGACTTTGAACTCCGGTACCAGACACACAAAATGTGTTTCTAATAATGATTCAGCTTGCAGGGCAGCGAGGTTTCAACCACACAGAAACCCACTTGAACTTAGCTGCAGGGAAGAGCTGAGACTGAAGAGCAAGCCAGAAGCTTGGTGCCCGTGGACGCTGTCATTCCTGTGTGGGCAGCCCCTCTCGGTGTTACTACGGTTCGAGGCACTCCTTTGCCCAACATGAATTCCTGTTGGAAATTTAGAGTTTAACGTTATAATTCTTCATTAAAGCTTGCACAAACCTCTTCACCTTTTCTCTCAATTACATTCTTTGAAAAAGACTCATTCCTTCCTACACTCTTTTATTTCTCTTTGAAATTTAATGGCTGAGACACTCAACGTTTCAAAATTGTTCCTTTATTTTGCTCATGTTATTTTGCTAATGGCCTCAGACTCGCTTTTCCTTTCATGACATTTGCTTAGAATAAGTCTTTATTCTCCTATAAGCATATATGCATTATATATATATACATATATATATATATACTGAAAACCTGAAGTCTTAAAAATTTTATTAAGAAAGAAATCAGGACATAGTTTGCTTCATGTAAAGGTCGTAGCTCTTCTAGCTTCCTTGCAGAAAGCCATCAGAAGATTAATTAAATAGCTTGTTAAATTCTAGTTGCTTATATTTTGTGTTGCTTAGTAAAATGATAATATTTGATATTTCTGTCACAGTTACTGATAGATTCCCAAGCAGTCAACTGCTGCAAATCAAAAACAAAGTTCCAAGTGTCTCCAAGTATATCCCAGAAATATGTGTTAACATGAAAAATATTTCTGTAGTTTTTACTTAAATATATGCTGAGTTTTGGAATGCAAAATACAGAAGGTTTAGTTTGTGATAATTATGCCTTCAAAGCTTTGTTTTAGGACTCATGGTCTAGAGTCCAATAAGGAAGGTAGCATCCCATTTTTAAATGTGCACAGTGATGTTTGTAAGTCCTTTATGTTGTTAGAAAAAACAGTCTTCCATGTGTCCACATTGGAATATGTCTCCCTCGGGGTGCCAATAATGCAAGGCTTTCTCAGTGCAGACCAATTTTCCAGTGTGAAACAGGTGAAGGAAACATCTCCCACCAGGAGAGTGAGCAAACCTGTTTACCACCTTCTACAGAAAGTGTGGCTCTTCAAGTCCAAGGCCCTTCCTCTGATCCCAAGACCCTTCCTCTCATCCCTAGACTCTTCCTCTGATCCCAAGACCCTTCATCTCATCCCAAGACCCTTCCTCTCATCCCACGACCCTTCCTCTCATCCCAAGACCCTTCATCTCATCCCAAGACCCTTCATCTCATCCCAAGACCCTTCATCTCATCCCTAGACCCTTCCTCTGATCCCAAGACCCTTCATCTCATCCCTAGACCCTTCCTCTCATCCCACATCCCTCCCTTCCTCTCATCCCAAGACCCTTCCTCTCATCCCTAGACCCTTCCTCTCATCCCACATCCCTCCCTTCCTCTCATCCCAAGACCCTTCCTCTCATCCCTAGACCCTTCCTCTCATCCCACATCCCTCCCTTCCTCTCATCCCTAGACCCTTCCTCTCATCCCACATCCCTCCCTTCCCCTCATCCCAAGGCCCTTCCTCTGCACTCAAACTCCCTATGCACACAGCGCCTGGATCCTCTGAGTGGTGGCCTCCCTTCAACAGGCCTTGGGAACCAACTGAAGCTCATTATACTTGCCACTTACTGTGCCACCAGTAAAATGGCTTTGTCTCTGTCCCAGGATTCGCCTATATTCAGCCAACATTTGTGAGACAGTAACAATGTTGTTTTTAACCTTATAATAAGAAAACCCAACCAGAGAGAGAGAAGCAGAAACAGAAATACTGAGATTTAATCTCAGAATAATTCTAAGGTAAATATTCCAACTATTTTTCATACGGAAAGAATCTAAGGCACAGGCTGAACAGCTGTCTCAGGGAGTAACAGCCCTAGCTGCTCTCACAGAGGACCGATATTCAGATCCTGGTACCCACATGAGGTGCCTCTCAATTGCTTGTTAATCCAGTTCCAGGGGACCTGACACTCTCTTCTGGCCTCCACAGGCATCTGCACACACATGGCACACATACACACAGGCACTCACAAGTGCACATAAACTAAAACAGAGTATTTTTTAAAAAAGAAAGAAACCAAAACAAGGAAAAGAGTTTTGTCACACCATCTGTTAAAGACAAGAGTGTGGACTGGAGCCCAGGCAGAACCCACCTAAGTTCATGATCTTAGCTACTATACTTTGTCACTGCCTTAGGAGATGAAAACTTTCACTTTCTCTGTATTTTAAAAGACTTTCAGCTCCTTTGTGGGTGCAACATGTATGAGTGTTTTGTCAACTTGTAGGTACGTGTACTGGTTATGTGCCTGATACCCTCAGAAGTCAGAAGAGGGCACTGGATCCCCCAAACTAGTCACGGGTGGTTCTAAGCAGCCATGCAAATGTTGGGAACCAAACCCATGTCCTCTGAAGGAGCAGCAAGAGCCCTTAAGCTGTTTTCCATCTCTCCAGACCCAGTTTTGCTCTTCCTTAGAAGCAAAGTCCAAGCCAACTTCACCACGGAGCACAGACAAAAGTAGAACCTCATTCTCCCATGGTTTTCCCGTAGAATCATGATGATGTAGATTATCCCATGCTATCATTTCTTAAAGTATGATCTGAGTATATGAAAATGTTCATACTCCCCTGAATAATGTGTCTTGAATACGTCTGTTAGGGACTATTCCAATAATGCTTTCGTTGTTTAAAATATTTCAGTGTTTATCCCAATAGTCAAACCCCTTGACCTAGAAAACTGGTTTGCTCCTATTATCCTTTCTCCTTGCTTTCTCAAGCAAGCAAACAGCCTTTACCAGCCAGCCTAGTAAGAAAAGGTGGAAAACATTACATTTCAGAGACTTAAAACAATAATAATATACACACCACCTCCTGAAGTTGCAGCCCGTACTAATGACAAACACCTCTTCAGTAACCAAAAGAGCAGTGATGGTTTTCATTGGGGAAAGACTTCATCAGTGTCCCTGACATTTCTCCCTCGTCAGCAGGGCTAAATTGACCAGTGCTGTATAGCTCCTCTCTGTGTGGAGTGTGTGTGTGTCTGTGTGTGTGTGTGTGTGTGTGTGTGTGTGTCTGTGTGTGTGTGTGGCCACTGCCACTATCAAGCACGTCTTCGGATGGAAATCTAGCTAGAGCACATGTGTATGAATAATCCTAGCCACTGCCTTTCTGGGATGACTGTGGGGAGATGACATGCTTCTACTGTACTCAGTTTCAGTTTGTGGACCCCTGTCCTTGCGGCTATTAAAAATAGTCTCCATCTCTCCCTAGCCCAAAGGAGCAACAAGCTGACAAAACCATAGTAACAGCTTACTGTGTTTTCCACAAGATGCTACCAAACAAAATCTAGCAAACCTGCCTCTGCTTCTGAATTCCCCAAACAAGGTGTCAGTTTTGTTATTTCTTTTAACTGATTTAAGCAATTACAGAAATCCCCGAAGGGTGATTTTGCTATAATTATTGCATCATAGATTCTCCAGATTATTAATACAAAAGCTTCTGGTAAAAAAAAAAAATAGAAATGGTCTTTCAAAGCGTCCTAGGAAACTAGGATTTTCTGCCTTTTTTACTTCCACCTGCTTTTGTTGGGAGCGAGCCCTGGTACCCTCTGCCCTCACACTGGTTAGCAACTTCTGCCTTGTTCTTTCTGCGGTCTCCCTGTTTTATCAGCCTCCCCCAGCGCTCCGTCTCCTCACTAGGATGCAAGCTCCACCAGACCAGAGTTCCTGCCTTCCTGCGTAGACTGTTCCTCATCGGAGCAGGTGTGTGGGTCGCCAGTATTCACTGTTGCGTGGGTGGTTTACTTACTTTGTAGTGTGCCTTGGTTAGCGTAAGTTGAATGTACCATGTGAGAGGAGAGCTGTAACCTTACACCAGGAGCACGTGACTGATACCCTTGACTTTCTACGTATATTTCATAATGCTCACTATGGCCTCTGAATGGAACAGTGCTCCCCAAAACAGGAATTTTGCTCTGGGGAAAGGAAAGAAAACACGTGGTTTGCCAGCAAACATCTGGAATTGAGGTATGCGCCAGCCATCCAAGAGGTTGCGAGAACTCGGAACCATCGACATGGAAGATTTGCAACTCCTGAGACACGGTTTGGTGCACAGATTCATCTATCTCACTCTCTCTCTCCTACATGCATCTGAAACAGATTGTGGTCGGCACATTATGTGATCAAACCCTAACGCTTTGCAACCTCAGAACTGGCTGAGACCGAGCACCTGTCTGGACCACAGCGCGACGCCGCAGTGTCTGCTTGGCTCCTCAGATCTTCAAAGGCTGAAGTTTGGGGCCCAAGCACTTTTTGAAATTTAAAAAATCTCATAAATGTTGCTGTTAGTTTTAAAACAAGCTCATAGACCTCTGTAAACAGTAAAAACTGAAGAGATAAATCAGATCAATGCCCAGAAAAACAAAACAAAACAAAACAAAACAAAAAAACCCCCCACTTAACCACTACAGGAAGGAAAGTTGATCACTCGACAAAAGACCAAAAAAAAAAAAATCTAGACATGGCACTAGTTCAATCTATACCAAAAAAAAAAAAAAAAAGTATACATCCTTAACAAATGAATAAATTCTCACCCAAATGTGCATGTTAATTAGAAACATAGGGTGAGCCAAGGGAGCTAGACGCATAACTTTCAAGGGAAAATTCTGACCTGAGCCTCTGGTGCAGCCCCGGATGTGCATCGGGAGATGCGTTAGTGCAGAAACAAGCCTCACCTCCCTGCTTCATTGTCTGAGCTGCGGAGTCTGCAGGGGTGCGGGAGTGAAGAGTGGATCCCCACAGTCATGATGGTTCTTTATTCCAGCGCACGGTTAGAACAAACACCCTCGGCTGTTTCTCTTAGTAAGACAGATGCTGTGTTGATCCCAATAAGCTGGCTTCGTTGTAATTTTAGCTATCTCTATAGTTAGATTGTCAAATGCCTCCCGGTGTCCACTGAACCATCGCGAGGCTCAGCAGTGGCCCGGTGCCCTCGAGTTACCAACTTCCCTTTGCCAATGGTTTACTGGAGTCCTTTCTGTTTGTTTATTTCCTTCTCCTTGTGAAGCCACCCTACGGGACATATGGACTTGTAACAAGGCTCAGCTACTCCTCGAAGCATAGCCATCCTCCGTT